TCCTTTCAAAGTCTCCCCTAATGAGGACGGGGGGGGGGGGGCGGGTGTGCACGCACGTGTGTGTGCGTGTGCCTGTGTGTTGTGCGGGGAGCAGGCGGGAGGGAGGCGTGAGCCCTGCTGAGTATGTCAGGTCTTTGGCTCTTCCTGTAATCCACGCTGAAACCAAACATTCCCACCCCGCCTCTGGCTGGAGAAGCAAGCTTGTTGGCGCTGGTGCCCCCCACAACCCAGAACCAGCAGAGAGAGGGCGTGGTCTTGACGCCCCCGTTCCCCCCTCCCCCAGGAGTGTGCTGGGCCCCAGCCTCCAGGATCCCGGTCATGGGGCTTCCCCTGGCCCCGGCCCCCTCAGGTGTGATGGCACCAGCTCCCAGCACACGCAGGATGTGCTCAAGAGACCCCTGCTCTTCCTCCCCCTGACAATTACAGGGAAATCACTCGCGCGACAATTACAGTTCCCCAAACCAAATCACAGCCAGCAAGGAGGTTCTCCCAGGGAGGAAGGGGCTGAGGGGGATGTGGGGGGACCAGCTGGCAAGTCTGAAGATTTTTTTTTCACTTTGGGGGTCACATCCGGTGATGCTCTGGCATTACTCCTGGCTCTGTGCTCTGGGATTACTCCTGGCTGTGTGCTCAGGGATCACTCCTATGGAGTTTAGGGGACCACAGAGGGTGCTGGGATTGAATCCAGCTCAACCGTGTGCAAGGTCAGCGCCCTACCCACTGTACTACCCTTCCAGCCCGAGACATGTTTTGTCGGCTCTCACCCAGGGGGAGCAAGTGGCCTCTGTCTCGTTGGAAGAGCAGCTCCAATGGGCATGCAGCAACCCGCTCGCCCCAGAGAACACTCTGGTCCAGGCTCTGGATGGGTATGAGATGGGGGATGTCTCGGTGGCCACGTGGCCTGTAAGGGACCAGCCCTTGGTATCTCAGGCCAGGTCCTGGGTCCCAGCTTAGCCCCGGGGGCAGCGGGTTTCGCCCTCTTGGCCCCCGTGATGGCAGCTCTATGAAGGCCGGTGCTCAGGAAACACCGGGAGAGAGTGGAGGTGACCCTAGGCCTGGCACGAGTCAACCCCACAGCCAGGCCGGCCAGGCTCTCCTGTCCTGGCCTGGCGGGGTGATGCCCAGGCAGACCTCGTTTCCCCAAAGCGCTGTGCAATGGTCAGGCGCGTCCCCCGTGGCAGGGTGGGGCTGGCATCACACACTCTCTCGGTGGGACCACCCTCCAGGCCATCTGGGGGTGACGCTCCCTGGGAAAGGGAGGGGGAAGGGCGGACAGGGCGGCAGGCCCCCTGTGGCAGCCCCGGAGAAGCCGATTCCTGCGGCTTCTCCTCCCTCCAGCCTCAGTGGCCTTGTCCTCTCCTTCCGGAGAGTTCTGCAGGGCCTCCCCACCCTCGGAGCCCACCGTGTTGTGCTGGCCTTGGCTTCCACGGGGCCTGGGCCGGCCAGTGTGCGTCTTCCTGCCTTTGTGGCCCAGAGACAATACAAGTCGCTTGGTTTCCCTTTTCTTCCTCAGACAGGACGCAGAGGCCAGCCATTAGCAAACGCCTTCAAGGCTGGCTTTTGGAGATATTTCTGGGGGCACGCCTGCTGCGAGGCACAGAGAGAGAGAGAGAGAGAGAGAGAGAGAGAGAGAGAGAAACTGAGAGACAGAGACAGAGAGACAGAGAAAGACAGAGAAAGAGAGACAGAGAAAGAGAGACAGAGACAGAGAAAGAGAGACACAGAGACAGAGAGACAGAGACAGAGAGAGACAGCGAGACAGAGCGAGAGAAAGAGAGACAGAGAGACAGAAAGAGAGAGAGATAGATCTGGAGACAGAGAGCGAGAGATTCCTCTACTGGGGTGGGCTGGGCAGGCAGGCCCTGAGTCAACACCAGCCCGAGGCTGACTTTTGCTGAACCCTGTCACCGAGATAAATCAAGCCCCCGCCCGGGTCCTAAAGAGAAAAGTCCTGCTCCACCCCCACCCCCCACCCCCAACCCCCAACCCCGACACAGCCATTGTCCCCCAACTCTTAAGGAATGGCCTGTGCTTTTAAAATGTTTCCGCCCAGAAAACAAATATTTAAGCCAAGTCCCTGCCCTGTACCCCTCACACCACCCGCCCCCGCCCCCAACCACCACACACACCCCGGTCAAAGGGAGCGGGCGTGGATTTTCCAGTTGACGGGGAATCTTTGAAAGAACCATCCGGCGGTTGCAAACCCTGAGGGGCCCCACAAAGCGCACGCTAGTCCCGGACACCTGCAAGGCACCGGCACACCCACGTCCGTAAAGGATGAGAAAGTGAAAGAATGAGGAGCCCCCACCCACCCCGCTGTTCACAGAATGGGGAAACTGAGGCACAGAGTTTCGACCCTTCCAGGTTGCACAGCTGTGCCAGGATCGGAGCCTGGACCCCGACAGCGAAGAGCACCCCCGTGCCACTCTGCCCTCTCCCACCCAGGCACGGCACGGGGGTGGGCCCGGAAGTCAACTCTGCCCTGGGAGGGGGGCTCGTGTCCACCCCGCTGCCCCCCCAGCCCGTCCCCCAGAGGGAGGATTCGAGCAGCTTCACCAGCCGGCAGCGCAGTCATCGTTCAGTTCCCAGTGCCAGCGGGCGCCCACCACCCCGCGGACACGTCACATGCCACAGGGGAAGGAGCGTGGGCCTGGGATTGATGTTGCGAGATCACTAACAGCGCGGCAGGCACCGGTGTGCCACAGAGAACGCGGTGGGCACCGGCCCCGAGGGCGGAACCTTGCCCCCCGCCCCATGCCCCCAACGTGCGGGGCGAAGTGAGTCATGGCTCCGACGCTGAGTTACAAGGGGCAGCGAGGCCCTGACTCTGGCTGATGCCCCGGCTCGCACGGCTTCTGGGATGAGAGACCATCACACACACACACACACACACACACACACACACACACGATTACCCATCTTCTTCAGGGGCCAGAGAGATAGTCCAGCGGGTAGGATGCCTGCGTCTCAGGCAGCTGACCTAGGTTCGATATCCCACATAGAGTCCCAAATAACGCCAGGTGTGAGCCCTGAGTGCAGAGCCAGGAGTGACCCCTGAGCATCTCCGGGTGTGGCCCCAAAGCAAACAAGAATATCCCGTCTGAGACAGAGACAGAGACAGAGAAATAGAGAGAGACACAGAGAGACAGACAGGAACGGGAGACAGAGAGAGAGAGAGAGAAAGTGTCTGCCATAGAGGCGGGCTGGGGTGGGACAGGAAATGTATCCTGATAAACGGAGGGAAACTGAAACATTGTATGACTGGACCCCAATCAGGAACAACTTTGTAACTGTGTATCTCAGGATGATTAGAAACTATTTCCAGTCTTCTTTCCCTCACCTAACCCCCCCTCCTAGGGAGGGATGCCGGATGCCGGGACAGGAGGACAGGGGTCAGGGGTGGATCCGAGCTCACCTATTCAAGCCTCATAAGAGGGGATCAGGGCTGCCAAGCAAACTGACCCAATTAGTTCTGGGTGCTGTGTGACTCCAGGAGAATCACTGCACCTCTCTGGTCCAGCAGCCAAGGGATATGCAGAATCCCTGCACCTTATTGAGAGCAGCTGCCCAGCATCCGGCAACCTCAAGTGTGAGGTCTAGCTGCGAGCCCAGAGCAGCTCACAGGCCCCCACCCCCTGAGGCTGGGGTTCCTGCCGACCACTGAGACCCACCCAAGGCTGAACCCAGGAAAGGTGCTCCTGTCTGCTGCCAGCTGAGTCGCCCAGTGGCCTCTGTGACAGCACCAGGCCCCCCCAACACCTCCCCCAACCTCAGCTAAGTCCGGAGAAGCCCTTTCCTGCAGGGGCTACAGAGACCCCACGCCTGTGGGTACTGGCCCCGGCTGTGCTGCCCTGGGCAGGTGCCTCTCCCTCTCTGGGCCCAGTCCCTCGTCGCCAAATCCTCCACCGAGGCCCCTGGCTCAGGCTCCGCTTTGGCCCTCGGTGGGTGATATGCAGTAGGGTCAGCCTTCCATGGCCCCCACCGGGGTCCTAAACCCCACGGAGTGTGAGGCCCAGCCCAGGAATCCCAAAGGCCGCTGGGCAGACCCACGGACCACCTGCGGCGGCCTGGGGTGGGGGCATGAGGGGAGCCGGTGCCGACCTCGACGTGCACACGTGACTTACTTATCTGGGAGGGTGAGAAGGGCCGTGGCAGGTGCCGACTAATCCTCCCTAAAAATAGGGGAGAGGGTGAGTTTGGCACGAGGAGCGGGGGCTGGGGGGCGCCTGAGAGGGGCGGGACACGCACACTTGCGGACGGATCGATCGCAAGGCCAGCAGGAGAGAGACAGCAGCACGCCGCCCCCGCCCCGGCCCCGTCCCCACGACGCTGTGTCCTGTCACAATGTGCAGACCCCTCTGGGAGAGAAGAGGAAGCCCCCGGCCAGGGAATCACCACGACACACATACGGGCACACGCACACGTATGCACACACAAGCACACCTGGGCCCACATATGCATGCACACACATGCATACACGCACATAGGCACCCATGCATATACACAGGCATGGACACACAAGCTCGCACCCATGCACATGTATGTCTGCACACACGCACCTACGCATATGCACCTGTGAACACAGATGCCTACACACGCACACACATGCATGTCTCTGTACGCACCATACACAAATACAGACACACGCACACACAGGTACTCACCCCTGCACACCTATGCCTCCACACATGCCCGTGCGTGCACGCACCCGTGCACACACACACGCACATGCATGCAAACAAGCGTGGACACGCACGCACACACATGCACACTCACACACACGCACGCACAGGCGCGCAGGAGGAACAGGAAGCCAGAGGGCTGCCCGGAGGATCCCAGGGAGGCAGCGACGTCCCGTCCTGTCCCGTCCCGGCTGGACGTCCCTCCGTCCGCGACCTCCCCTTCTCCCACCCCGACGCGCCCCCGGGAGTCTTTCGCAAGAACCCCCAAGCCCACCAAATAACGCTTTTCTAACCCCCCGGAACCGGTGTCGGGCTTACGGCGTCCGGGGGCGTCTGGGGGTCCGGCTGCCTCTTGCGCAGGGACGAGAAGCGCTGCTGGCTGCGCGCGGAGAAGCGGCGCAGGGAGTCGCGGCCGCGGGAGGCCAGGTGCCGGAGGGACGCGGTGCGCTTCAGGGGGGCCCGGGCCGCCGCCTCGGCCCCGCCCGCCGCGCCCACCAGCGTCAGGGCCTCCTGGAAGGACCGCCGCACGGTGCCCACCCACTGGCTCATGTGGCCCTGGGCCGCCGTGAGCTTGTCCCCCAGGTACTCCAT